TAAGCTTTCGTGGGTAAGAACCTCACTTCTTCAGATGCAAGAAGTGAGGTTCTTACCCACGAAAGCTTATGCTCCCAATACTTCTGTTAGTCTCAAAGGTGCCACAGGATCCTCTGTTGCTATTTACATCTTGAAGTTTATCCTTCCTGAAAAGTTTCTACAATTAGTGTAGGTCTCTCTTTAGAAGAAATAACAGGTATTTGTTAAAACATGCTGGTGTAACTTTTGCTAATGTAACCTATCTAAAAAAGTATTAATAAGTGTGTTTTCTAAACCCACTTTAAATCTACTTATACATTTAGAAGTCTTGGATTTAGAAAACAACACAAAGATGATATAGGAAAGTGAAATGGTCTCCTAGTAAAGCACACAATGCCCTCTCCTAAACATCTATTTCTGCAGGATTCTCCCTAACTCTGCCCAAAATTAATGAGAGCAATTGCAATGCTTCTTTGGTTTCCAACTGCACAAATCAGTTTCTCTGAAGTCCTACTGTAGTTTAAGCTATGTTGTTAATTTACTTAACTTCACTAAAACTTTGGATCAATCTACACGATCACACCACACTGCTTTATGGTCACAGAGTTCAGCCAAGTTTGATACACCTCTACCCCGATATAACACAAATTTGTATATAACACGGTAAAGCCGCGCTCCGGGGGAGTGGGGCTGAGCGCTCCAGCGGATCAAAGCAAGTTCAATATAATGCAGTTTCACCTATAACGCGGTAAGATTTTTTTGGCTCCGGAGGACAGCATTATATCAGAGTAGAGGTGTAGTTTGTTTATTCAATGTTTGAAGTAGCCATACTACCAACTTGGTTGTTCAAAATTGTTATGTGGTTTCTTGTAACTATATCAGTGCGTAGCCCACCAGTATACATACACAGATACCTAGGCAGGACGCGACCAATTATTGGCATACATCACTGGGACTAATATGCATGTAGGTAAACCTGCTGCTAAGCTCTACTAGTCCCAGTGGCCTAAGCCATTCATTGGTCCCGCCCTGCCTGCGGATCCATGCTGTGCCCTCACACAAATATAGGTAAGCATGATGACAGAGGATAGGCAAGAGAGCTGGGAGAGAATGTGACAAGTGCTGCCACATCTGAGTGGCAGTGCCCCAGGAAATAAGTAGTTCACAGTAAATTGTCAGAAGAGAAAGCAACTGCCAGTTTCAAAAAAATTATACTTCTGATTTTTTCCCAGTATTATTACATCATCTAAGATTAGTGTAACTGAAAAAAATCAGAGCAAAAATATTCTTCAGTTTTGTTAAAACACTTTTTATAAAGTAAATTTCATTCTGTCCCCAATCAATCTCATGTTTGAGAGAGTCTTTCACATGCAGCAGAGCAAAGACATTTGAAAAGTAAATGTGATTAGAGAACCATAAAAAAAAGCAAAGGAACCTAGAGGCAAGAGAAATAAATGAACCTATTTTAAACAGACAACATTTCAAGTTAAGTGTCCATTTAAATATTTAAGAGATTTATTCATTTAGCTGTTGTTGTCCAGGTTTCACAATGCATTCATTGGTTCATCTTGTAAACAGAATCAGAATGGTTTCCATCACGCCAGAGCAGGTGTCCACTAAACCAGGATTTGGAAGCTGATTTCTCAAACAGAATCCCACAGCACAACCAGTTTCCCACTATGTATTATATGGTAAAAGTTTAATGCTTATTCTAATGAACTGTATGGAGGACACAAATAGTGAGGAGACTAGAGTGCCACAAAAGGGTAATCTAGATATTTAATTTGCTTAGAGAAAGAGTTCAACTTTGCCTAATAAATACGTGCATTTAGCTGAAATTTCTCTAGTTTTAGATTTCATTGGTGTTGTACCTTCCATTTTCTCTTTCAGAGTTTAGTTGTCCGGGGGGAAGGGATAGCTCAGTGGTTTGATCATTGACCTGCTAAACCCAGGGTTGTGAGTTCAATCCTTGAGGGGGCAACTTAGGGATCTGGGGCAAAGTCAATACTTGGGGCTGGACTCGATGACCTTTCAGAGGCCCTTCCAGCTCTATGAGATAGGTATTGGCCATATATTATTTTTAGGAGATCCTGCTTAGGCAGCTTGCATATAAGTGAGCTAAATCTGGGCAATACAAAGTATATGTGTATCAACTGACTGGTTTAAACAAAAGTATTTTGTAAACTGGTAATCTATATAATAAATACTCCCTCCCCATTTGCTTCTCTTGCTGGACCAGAAATTTGGCCAGAATACATTTTACAGATGTAGTTGAAATATTTTAAATGTAAAGTTTTATTTCTTTATAATGCACTGTGATAATCTTATTAGTCAATTGTTTTCCCACAGAGCTGAGACCAGCCAAGTGATGGCTTGCTAAAACTGGGAACTAGTATACCTAAGATCAGCAAATTAAAGTATGGTGTACTATCTAGTACTAGCTCAACTCAACCAGGGAGGGATAATAAAAAAGTCACACAAACAAAAGCTGAGGGCAGATCCAAGCCTGAGAGTTTTCAGAGAGCCTTACACATTGTACTTTTAACACAACTGACATTTTCTGTTTGGTTTAATATTAAAATCTCTAATCTTATGTTCTGTGTGAATAGGACAAATAATCATGCCAGTATTATCGGTTACTAGCATTTGTTACAAAAGTACTTCTCTATGTAAACTGGGGAAGTGTTATAACTATGTTAGTAAGCCATATTGTAGCCCAAGCAAGAAAAATACAAATAGTCTAACACCCATGCATCTAACCAGGGCAGGGAATTGGACCTAATGAGGAAGGGAATAAGGAATGCTAAGGGACAAGACATGTGTAGACTGTATTTTACTGTATCAGAGTCTGGAATGTAAAAGGCAGTAAGCTGCACACTTATCAGAAGCTTAGGTATTGTCAGAAGCTGAGGTCCAATCGAGGATACTATATGTAATATCTAGGTATCTCTCTTAGGTATTTATATGGCCCCAATTACTGTGGCATATAAGCACCTCACCATCTTTAATATACAACACAAATGTGAGGCAGGGCTAATGTACTAATGTCCCCATTTTGCAAACGGGAAAATCAGGCACAGAGAAACCGACTTTCCAAGGGTGCTCAAAAGCCTGTGATCAAGCAGGGATTCGACCCGAAGTTTCCCAGGCTAGCACTCTAACCACTGTACTAGTATATTGTATTACACACCTCATTCCTCCCACTGTTAACACATGAAGTGACAGAGACCAGGAAGTGTCGCAACCTCCTTTGTCAGCTCAGAAAGGAGAGAGAAAAATTCCGTAGCCGAGCCACTGGAGACAGAGAGCTCGAGAGAGAAAAGATGGGGGAACCCGCTCTCCATTCAGGACCGGGTCGGGATAACGGAGTATCTCCCGCAAACGCCCCCCGTGCAGGTGTCTGTCAGGAGACAACCTAGTGGCCATGTCTCACCCGCCAGTTTCTCAGAATCCCTCCCTGAAGCAGAAGCAATCGCCCTCTCACCCCGTCCCCTGCCCCAGACTGGCCTCTATGGCAAGTTGCAACCCAACACTCACCCCCGCTCGCGCCCCCCGGGAACTTTCTGGGGCGGAGTCTCTCAGCGCAGCGGCTCCGACACAACGGGCGGGAGCTGCCCAGCCGACCCATTCCCCGCTCAATAGTACCCCGGGGAGGCGCCCCTTGCTCTCCTGTATCCCGAGTCCCACCCGCGCGCCAGCACTCTCACCTGGGGCTGCACGGTGGTAGAGAAGGAAAACATCCTCCCCTCTATGAGGGCTGCGACTCCCCCTCCTCCCGTGCCGGGAGCAGCGATCTACGCGCCCGGCAGTCTTCGCCTCTCACTCCCTCTGGCCGCGGCCGCCGGGAGAAGCAGCGTTCAGCGGCTCCACTCCCATGGAAAATGGCCGCCTCCTGCGGCCGGTAACGACTAGGCCAACTACAACTATGCCGGAAACGGACGGGACGGCATACCGCTTCCGGGTCATACTCCCTCCCGAGTCCTTCCTGCCCTGCCACCTCCCATTCCTCCCCCATAGCAACCAGACACCTTAGCAACCAATGTGTCTCACGCGCGTACACCAGCCTCTTCCTACTACGCTCTTGCGCGCGGGAGCAAACCATTCCTTCCGACTGACGGGGGAGCCTGTAGGACCGAACCATTTCCGCGGCGGGGGTGCAGCTGTGTGTGAGTTGCGTGCATCAGCTGCTGTGTCCAACGAGGTCGTCGTTTCGGAAACAGAGAGCTGGCGTACGGATAAAACAGGCCTGCTTTTGAGCAGCCTGTTTTTGCAAAACCTAACTAACATGGTGTGAGAAAACCAAAATGCAGCCCTACCCCACCTATCTCTCCAGCCACCACATCACTCAACTGGTCCATCACACCAGGGGCCTAGCAAGTGCTCTCAAGGTCAGCAAACATCCCACAATTCTGGGCCCTGATCCTGCAACTACTTATGCATGTACTTTACTCCCATCAGTAGTTTAATCAAAATCAGTAGAACTCTACTCATGGTCCTAAAGTTAAAGATGCAGAAGCATCTGCAGGATGGGGCTCTTGGTGTGCAGATCCCCATGAAGGCCTGGAAAAAGAGGTGGCAAGCCTAGTAGCATCACTGCCTCCTTTACCTAAAATTTAGGAGATTACAGGTGACCACATAGCTAATATAGTCCCGGAGACTGCAGAGACGGCTATACTGTTTCCCTTCTGGATCCCACTGGCCTGGCCACTAGGTATTGCCAAGGCATCTGTCAAGTTTCCGGGGTAATGTGCAGGCCTTGTAACTCTAGAGCATCAAGCAGAAGGCTACGCTGCCCACGTTCTGAAAACATCTCTCTAGTTTTGTGGGATAGTATGGAGCTGCTCCTCTCCTTTGCTCCCTGCACAAGTGTGACATAGTGGGAATTTTCCCTCATTATTTTGTATGTGAGCCTAAGTGAGTCTTACTGTTTTGCATGAATGCGGTGTGTGCCTCAGTTTCCCTATGTATTGCAACGTCTAGGTGGAGGGAATAAGGGTGTGTGACTTGCAGGGGCTGCGCCAGCTGCCTGCACAAATGCTATGGCCACCCTTTCGTAACCTGAGACCCAGCAGGGGGATATGACCAGGTGACTCTTGGCCTGGGAAGCCAGAAAAGGCCAGAGGAGCAGCAATGGGCAGGGCCGGGGCCAGGCTCCCCTCCCCCAACAATGGACTTGGCTGAAAGTCACTGATTTCTGTGCTAACACGTTCTGTTCTGTGTTCCTGTTGACTAATAAATGTTCTGTTTTACCAGCTGGCTGAGAGTCACATCTGCCTGTGAAATTGGGATGCAGGACCCTCTGGCTTCCCCAGGAGCCCCATCTGAGCGGACTCACTGTAGGAAGCACATGGTGTGGAAGCGGATGTTGAATGTGCCAAGGTCAGACCCAGGAAGATTGAAGCTGTATAAGCTTCTTGCCGTGGAGACAGTATACTCAGAGAGAGGAGGCATGTTCCCCCAGAGTCCTGACTGGCTTCGTATTGAGTAGTTCCTGATCATTGCCTCGGTCACTCCGTGACAACAAGGCATGGAAGCATTACTCATTCACAGAGCAAGGTATCTCTTGGTGTGAATATGGGTATTGAAATCTGGCCCTTAGTATCTCCAACCAGTACTCCACATCCTACTCTCAATCATCTGATGATACAAATGAACAAATTCTCATGGCTGTCAGTAAGATGTGAAAGAGCCCAGCTGGTGGGAAATGGGAAGGTATCAGGTTTATATTACAAAGAGACTGGAGCTGTAAAATGTAAAATCCAGATCCAACTCTTAGCTGTTCCAGAGTTCTTAGGTTTCCCTTCAAACACATTATGGAAATAGCCTGAGTTGCTGCTACACTGTAATCCAAACCTTCCCAAAATGTAGGAATGTCTTGATTCCAGGTTGCAGTTCATGTTCTCTCTAATTTTAGGAGTACTGCAATACTTCTAGAGTGCACCTATTTTTTTTAATTGTCAAAAATAGGACTGCTGGTACTCTAATACTGTTACTCAATGATTTCAGTCCTCCATTAAAGATAATTCTGCAGGAATTGAGATCAGGAGAAGAAAAAATAAATGTGACTGTCATATTTTTAAAACTAATGTTTGTCTTAAAGCCATCTAAACTTCACAAACCACAGTCCAGGGGCTCACAAAGTCAATAGGACTTTGCATGGACACTGGGAGCGATTTGCCTGCATTGATAATCTTGCAGGATTGGGACCTTAGTTACATGCATCAATTTTACTCATGTTTCAACAGAGACAAAAAATTCTACTACTCTTCCCTGAGATTAAACCAAGCTGTGGTGTGTTTAGGGAACTATAGTGTAATAAAAAGTAGGAAGAAACTTACAGAAAATAAATTTCACCTCAATAGCTTAACACACTGAATCCAATTCTCTCCTGGTTTACAGCCTGTACAATCTCAATTAGGTCATTGGAGTTGCATGGCTGTAAACCAGGGCAGAATTTGATCATGTGTGGCTCATGCCATAATATTTATCTTTTTCTCTGCATTTTGTCATTCTTTCCATGTCCCTCTCCATCTGTTCTGTCCTTTTTGGCTATTTTGTTTCCTTTCCTCTCTTTTGTTTGATCTCACTTCTTGTGTCTCTTTCTCTCATTGAACAACTACTATAATTTCTCCTTTTACAGACTGATAAGGTATCTCCTGTCTGTTTTTTTGGGGCGGGGAGGGGGATTCTTTGATTTCTTCCACCCCATCTTCTCCCTTCTCCTTGATGTGTTTTCTGCAAATTCCAAGGCCAAGAAAAGACCCTCTGGTAATCCATGCATTGTCCATACTAGAAAAATTATCTGTTGCTGACAATAGGTGCCCATTGCTGAAACCTATTATTAGCAATAGGCAATTTTTCTTTTTCTAGAATAGACAAGGCTCTATTGAGTACACTGTATTGCATCTAAGGATTTTTCAAGGGAGGCCCTAATCCTGCAATCAGCTCTGCTTGGGCAGGCCTTTTAGAGCTCAGTGCAGGATCAGAGTCTTAATGTATTACATCTTTATGAACAAAATAAAACTTGTGTCAGACTAGTCAAATTTTCAATGGCAAAATCATGCTGGCACATTTTCTTTTTTTAAATTAAAAAAATTGCTAGCAAGTTACGTGGCTAAACTAACACAAAAGAGATGTGGGTATCAAATTTCTTGCTGTAAGGTAGAAGGTAAAGCAGTTTTATAATGGACATTTTGAGAAGAACAATTAAACACAAACTTTAAAGGGACATTGCCAACTTGAAATCTAATCAGTATTTTATTTTTAAAAAGAGATACTCAAATGTTCAGATAGTACACCTGTCCCTGTAATCACATGCCAAATGTTGTGGTTTGGAATCACATTTTTCTCTATTTTAAAATGTCTCTAGATTCACAGAACGAACTGAATAAACTCTCTAAATAATGGACTATACAGGGAAACAATGAAACTTGACTTATACGAAGTACAGTCAAATGCACAAAATAAACAAAGTTCCCAATCCTGGAAAACACTTTACTTAGGAGGATTCTGTCCCACCCTCCATCAACTTTAGTAATCTCTGTGATCTCCAAGTGCTATGTCTGTACAAAGTTCAGTGGAGGATCAGATTTTAAGACAGACAACAATATTTTTCTCTCTATTCATATTCAGTTATGGTAATATTAGTTATTTTTACCAAAATGGGTTAAAATAGTACAAAAGTATGATTTTTAAGTTGACAGTGTCTAAGTTTGGGTCTTGATCATGCAAAGATTTCATGCTTAATTTTTAAGAATATAAGTAGTCCCATTGAATTCAATGTCTTTGTAAGATTGGGGCCTAATTTGCTATACATACTGTGACAGGACCCCCGTGTACATCCTGAAACTATGGGACCACTGTGCCCCCTTCTCTCTCCAGCCTGGACTGTCTCTCACAAAGCTATGCCAGTGACAAACAGCAAACCCCTGCAGGAGCTGTGATCACTCAGCCACCAGCATGTGGAGACCCACACCCTGCTAAATAGCTCTCCAAGCCACTCATGAATTATACAGAGAGAGGCACCAGCCAATCACCCCAGCCCCCAGCTTTGCATCCCATTAATATACCATGTTACACTGCTCCAGACTCCCTTGGACAATACAAGCTCATTAATTAGTTCACCACTTCAACAAAGGGTAGTGAGCGTGCAACAGCCCTTGTTAACCTGAACTGAGATTCACCAAGCACTTCAACAACAAACAACATATGTTTTAATTAAAATATAAAACATATTTATTGACTCCAGACAGATAGATTTTAAGTGATTATAAGTAGTAGGCATAGAGATCAAAGTTGGTTACATAAGAAAAAGAAATAAATTTGCAGTCTAAATTCTACAGACTAAGTAAGGTTTGACTTAAACAGCTTCTCTCACTCCAATAGAGGTTACAGGCAGCTTACAGTTCTTAATACACAGGCTGCATTCCCTCTCACCTTGGACCAGTCCCCCCAGTTCAAAGTTTTTGTCTTCCAGACGGTCTTACAGCTGTTGAGGTGTGGGAGGGGAGAGGCCAAGTGATGATGTCACTCTCTCTCTTTTATACTTTCTTCCAGCTGCTAGAAAAATCCTTGCTGTGACATGGGGTTTAAGTACCCCTCATTGTATACGTGCCCCCTCTGAGTTGTCTCTGGGAGAGTGGATTTTTTTTTTAGTGGACCATCAACACATGTCTGGCTGGTCCTGATGTAAATCTGTCTTGTCAGTTGCTCCTTTGTTGTCACTGAAAGGCTGGCTGTAGGTATCTCCCAACCTCACAACATATTTTAGTAACACATCATAACTTCATATACAATGATAGTACATACAATTCAACAGGATATTAAAGTTAAACAGATCAAGACCTTTTAAATGATACCTCACTCACAAGGCATACTTTGTACAAAACATATCATAATATCACAGTGGTGTATATGTGGGTTCCGGGGTGCTATTTTGAGGTAGAGTGTCATACACAAACATTTGTGAATCTTGTTTAATGTAAAATAATTTTTTCAGCTGTTCATAAATCTTAAAATCTGTTAATTTAACAAAAGAACATTTTCCAAAAGAAACCTTACTTTTTCCTTATGTCTTTTCAATCATCAGCACTTGTCTGTCTCGAGTGGCTTGCTTGAAATCCTCATGTATGTTCCCTTCTATAAGATGTGGCTCAGCTGAGTAGTGAGTACCAAGAGGATATCAATTGGGCCATGTTCTCACTGAGAAGCATTTGAATAGGCTTTTTGTAAATCCTAAAGACTGTTTCCTGTTCTCAGAGTATCTGGAATTTGAAGATAAAAGTTCGTGTTCCAACTAGCTTCTTTTGGGCATTCAAAGAGGAGATTATGGTGGATTTTAGATGGGTTATTCTGAAAGGAGTTGGTTTTATACTTTTGCAATTATTAGTCTATTAAGTGTAAATTACCTAAAGAGCTCTGGGGAGCTTGAAAGCTTGTCTCTTTCACCAGGAGGAGTTGGTCCAATAAAAGAAATTACCTCACCACCTTGTCTCCATCATATTGTAGGAACAACACTGCAAACAACTTCTAACATTTGTATGACATGCTGAGTATTTTCATTGTTGCAGAGCATCCATTCAGAGCTTTAAGAAGTTAAAAAAAAAGTCTAAATAAGTAAACTATATTGACACATAGATCCTGATTTTGCAGTGATAGACACGTTCCTGATCCCAGTCAATGCTGCTGTAGTGGCAGGTGGAAAATAGCTGCTGTGGTCACTGACACTACTTGCTCATCTAACAGTAAGTGAGGAATGCACAAGACTTCCAAGTTAAGAACATTAATGACAAATGGGATATACATTCTGTAGACAATAAAGCAAATACAATCTCTGTCAACTGCCACAGTTATAATAGACAGTTATTATAGGAGGTAGTTTTATGGACATTCAGAAGGAGAGGTGGTTCATTTGGATAGTTATAAAGGACAGTTGAGTTTGGGGATACTTACTGAAGGGCATTTATGAGCTAGTTGAGTAACAGTTATATTGAGAGGCATCTGAGGAAAAGAGGATTGCAACATGGTCTAATTGGGGACGATCATGAAAGCCATGCAGTAGGGAGTGATTACATCCAAGGATAATTGCAGTGGGGGCAGCTGCGATAGGACATTAACAAGGCCCTTCAACTTCAGTTTTTATTTTGTTTAAAATTTCCCAGAAATTAATCAGTGTTCATTACAAAAATTAAAAAAAGGATGGAAATGAGTGCAAAATACTAGCTTCACAGTTTTCTGGGTAAATATCAGGGTTAATATTGGGAGACAGGAAAACAGAAAAAAAAAATCAGCAAATAGAGACCAGTAAGTGTATTGAAAGTAAAGGCAATTTACTGTTGTGGTTTATTTTGCGAACTGTACATTAACAGTAAGCTCCAAAGCTTGTCTGTCTCACGAATAGAAGTTGGTCCAATAGAAGATATTACCACACCCACCTTGTCTCACTAACAGTATGGACACATATACACACACGTATCTTCTACTACATTGCCTTTCTTTAACAAACTGCCTCACATTTACACTTAGACTAATTTATTATCAACATAAACACATGTTCCTAAGGTATAGGATTTGTTCTGAACATAATCCGTATTTTCGTGAACTTCAGTAGTCCAAAATTCAGAGGGAAAAAAAAAACAGTAAAAACTGCATAATAGCTTTTGTAAAACCTGGGAATTTTTCAGCAAAAACTGAAAATGAAGGGCCTTAATTACACTACACGAATCAATTACACTAGAGCAGGGATTCTCAAACTGGGTGTTGGGACCCCTCAGGGGGTCACAAGGTTATTACATGGGGTGGGGGGGTGTCACAAGCTGCCAGCCTCCACCCCAAACCCCACTTTACCTCCAGCATTTATAATGGTATTAAATAGATAAAAAAGTGTTTTTAATGTATAAGGGGGGGGTTGCACTCAGAGGGTTGCTATGTGAAAGGGGACACCAGTACACAAGTTTGAGAACCACTGCATTAGAGGTAATTGTAACAGGCTGTTTGGTGTTGTTTACATTACAGGCAGCTGCACTAAGATATTGGAAGCAGTTGTATTGGGATTGGTTGCATTGGGGTCAGTTGCACTGAGCCATTAGAGGCAGAGCTGCCTGGAGTCACTTACATTAGAGGCAGAGTTGCGGTGCGGTCAGTTGTACTGGGGACAGACCGCTTGATTCCCCAGATCTTACCTGTTCCCCGGTGCTCTTGCTAGACTGGTTACTGCGCGTGCGCTCGTTTTCACCCCTCCCCTTATCGCTCTCACGCAGACTCTCGGGAAGTCCTGCCCAACCCCCGTCCCTGCTGCTGTCAGTTGGCCAATGACGTTACCCGCGGGTGGGGCGGGGCTTAGCTTTGAATTGGCGCGGGGCACGGAGCGGTGGAGGGGACAGTCGAAGAGCGCGGAGCCGCGCGATGGGGCCGGTGGAACCCGCGGCTGAGGAGAGGGGCGCCGCGCGGGTGAAGCGCATCGCGGTGCCCCGGCCGCCCTCCATCGAGGAGTTCACCATCGTGAAGCCCATCAGCCGCGGCGCCTTCGGGAAGGTCTACCTGGGCCGCAAGGGGGGGAAGCTCTACGCTGTCAAGGTGAGAGCGGCGGGGCCGGAGCCCGAGCCCGACCCGCGGCGGAGGGTTCATCGCTGCTCCGGTTCCCGCAGTCACACCCGGAGCGCGACGGTCTCAGCGGGGCCCAGCGCTGCCCTCTGTAGACGGGACGCCAATAGCCCGGCAGGCAGGCAGCCAGCAGTCCCCAGCGATCGCCCGCTTGGGCTCGAATTAGCCGCGGGCTCGTAGCAGTTTCACTGGCTCGTCCCCCTCCCGCTGGGAATAGATGGGGGCGGGGCGTGGAGCTGCCGGGGGTGAGTCAGCCCCGCGATGTGCCAGTCTGGGGGGTTTGAAGCTGAGCAGTTGGGCCCGGCTCCTACGTGCTCTGTTGCGCGGCGAGGGCGTTTGGCCGCTGGCGCTGCGTCTTGCTGGGGGCCAGGCCCCGGCCTGAGGGGGCGGTGGCCGGGGAGTGGCGGCCCGTGGTACGCTCGGCGGGCGCAGGAGCCGTGAGTCTGTCTGAGTTCAAGACGCAGGTTGCTGAGTCGGGCTGCGCTCAGCAAACCGGAGCTCAGACCTGAGAGGAAAAATGAACTTTTACTGCTGGGCCCAGAGTCAGGGCTCCGTGAGCGGCAGCTGGGCATGTGCAGGCTGCTCCTGTTCCAGTGGTGTCCTGGCTGGCGCCACTACCCCTTGTTTGTGGTGCCCGCGGCGTTCTCAAGGCAGGCTTGTGCTTGTCTCTGTTTGCCCTCCCTGCAACTGTGTGGTTCAGGCCTGGTCTACACTACAGTTAAGTGATAAGTGTCCACCCTATAGTGTGCTCCCGTTGCTGTAAGTTGCCCACTACATTGACTTAATAAGTCTATGTCTACACTACAGCATATTTTGGCAAAACTTACATTCCACCTCACTGAGCGACATAAGTGCTTGTGTGGACAGCGCTGTAGACTGGAGAGCTTCTACTGCCGACATAGCTTCTGCTGCTTGCTAAGGTGATTTTTTTTATATACCAATTCTCTCCCGTTGGCATACAGCGACTTCACCAGACGCGCTGCCTGTTTGCTGTCACGTCGCCCATTATGGTCTCATCCGCCATGCCAGGATGTTAGGGCAGAAACACTCTGGTGAGAGGAATGGATAGCTATTATAATCCCCAACCAGTCCCTTGTCACCAACCCCACAATTTGCCCATCTGGTTTTGACGTGCCCCGTCGCCAGTGGTCCCTGTTGAACACATTCTAGACCAGGCAAGGTCTCCATGCAGCCAACCAGTATCGCTGGGACATTCGAGACAGCCCTTTGTGCAGCTGTGGTGCAACACAGACAATGAGGCCGTTGTCGATGAATGCCTGTTGACTAGGTTCAGTGGTGGCCTAGAAGAACTGCATCATGCCACTGAAGATGCCATCACTTGGCTAGACTATGCACACACTAAATAAAATAAACCAGACAGGCTGCAGTGGCACAGCTGTGGCGCTGTATGTATAGACATATCCTAACTCCATCTCTGAGAGAGGCATAGCACTTAGGTTGATGAAGTTAGGGCAATGCAGTGCCTACCCAGACACTGTGTTACTTACATTGCCTGTTAGCTGTCAGCACAGCCCAGAGCCCTGCTGCCAGGACTGACATCACAAAGCAAGTATACTCCCATAAACTTCTAAATTCCCTTTTTCATATTGAGTAATCTCAAAATGACAGAATTCCTTTCATTAGCTAACAAGATCTGTGGGGGCAGATCATTTGCAGTGTTGGGAAATTGTCTGAGACTGGATCTTTTGGAATCATGATTTTGGGAATGACATACCCTTAATTGATATATTGCACAGATGGAATGCTCACACAAACTTTCATTATGATCATTTTGTTTGGGTTGTTCCTAGGGGTAACAATGTTAAGCTTTTGATTTAAAAATCAAACAAAAAACAAAAAATCCCAAACACAGTCAGTACCAGGTTGAGTAATCAAGACCACCGGTCAGGGAAATAACCCACTTCCTTCCCTGATGAACCAAGGGATGTGCCCCACCCATGTACTTATTTGCTACACCAATACCGACTTGGACTCTAAATTCATTCTATGAGTGGCCTATCCGAGCCCACTTATCCACGGACGTTTTAAAAACCTTGCAGCGCCCTTCTCATTCAGCCCCTGGCTCAGTGCTGTCACTCCTCTAGCTCCTGAGCCCATGCTCCAGTCTGTCCCCCACCATTAACTCTGCTGAAGCCCAATCTGTGACCCCCTCCAAGCAGTCCCGTATGCCCTCACTCTGTCTGTCCTAACTTGGGTTTGCGGGCAGGGTGCTGTGATGAATGCAGTTGGCTTCTGGCTATTCTAGTGCCACAGTGGCATCTGGTAGATGAAAGGCGGGACTGCAGGATTTCTCAGGCAGAATGTATTTTCGGGGCAGGGAGGGCGGAATCTGCATTGGATATGAATTGTGCACATGCGCAGTGGTGCACAGTTCCCCCAGAGTAAGCAGTAGATGGCAGAGGATATATTTGATGCAATATGGTATTGTTGCTGAAGCTCACAGTTAACAAAGGTTGTATGCAGTGTAGTTATAGCCATGTTGGTCCCAGAATATTAGGCAAGATGGGTGAGGTAGTATCTTTTATTAGACCAACATCAGTTTGTGAGCGAGACAAACGTTTGAGCCACACAGCGCCCTTCTTAAGGTACCTCAACCCACCTTGTCTCACAGTTAACGAAGACAGTTATTTGTCATCATTAATTGCTTGTGTTTGCTGAGGCTTTCTCCTGAGGAGACCAACATTTGATTACTTTTGATTATGAAATTGACATTACATTTTTCTTATGCAGAAATTAGATTTTCCCCCCTGAAAAATTAGCCAGTTAAGGCTGGGAATTTTAATGACATATGTTTTACTTATCACAAGTGTGCTCTTTTCACTGCATGTAACTTCTTTCTGAAGAGGATAGCAGTATTGCTTAATTGCAGAGGCAAGATTTCTGCATTTAAAATATTTTTCTTTAGAAGACCCAGTCATAATTCTAACTAAATTTTGCCATAAGTGCTAAGAAAGGGGTAGTTTCACTATTGATATTACCTCCTTGGAAAAAAGTTGTCCACACAAATATTTTAGACTTCCATCACAATTTTGACAGTGGGAGTCCCACTGTGCACGGGGCTAACAGTGGAAACCCTGGCTGCTCCAGGGCTGAGAGCGAGGGTGGCTGCTCTCAACCCCAGGCGGCTGACAGCAGAAAATCACGGAAAAGTAATAATTGACTTTTTTTTTTTACAATCATCCCACAATTTAAGTAGGGCTTTATCAATAAGTATTAAACATTGAATTTCTAATTATAGGTTATATATTTTACCAACAGCTGCACACGCTAGTTTGAAACTAAGCATTATTTTCACATAAAACTTAAAATAAGGAGTTAGCTTATTACTGGCAGCTAGGGAAGGAAAGCAGTGCCCACGTAAATGGAGGATGCATCCTGCAAGAATTTAAATCTTCTAAACTGGGTGAGATGGTATCTTTTATTGGTTAGAAAGTAAATTTAATACTTGCTGTCAACAGAGAAATTTTTCCACTCACAATGCTTTTAGAAGAGACTTTAAATAATGAAAAATTAACTTTAGTATCTGTCTGCACTTTTTAGCCATCTAAATACCTCGTCACCATATATTAAGCAGAGCTGAGTATGTGTCTAGAATCTATGATGTACAGCTAGAAGCTTCAGCTAAGTAAATTAGCAGGTCAAGATTTTGAGTTAACATTGAAGTTGAAATGTGTCTATACAAGAAATACACCAAGTTAGTGGTCTCAACATTTTTCCTATTGGGATCTCCCTTTCCTTATATGGAACCCTCTCCCGTTATAAATACGTCAGGGTGATCATGAGTCCCAGGTTAAGAACCCATGGCCTAAGCATTTAAACATTGGGAAATACAGAAGGAAGATAAATATTCAAATCCTCACAGTTCATATAATCCCTTAAGTAATATACGCATTAAATATCACATTTTAAAATCAACCTTAACCACCTTGTATCTTTGTCTAACTTCAACATATTGATTAGAAACCATGTTAAACCCACCCAATGTAAATGATATACAGTAGAACTCAGAGTTATGAACACCAGAGTTATGAACTGACCAGTCAACCACACACCTCATTTGGAACTGGAAGTATGCAATCAGGCAGGAGCAGAGACCTCCTCTTCCTTCCCTCCCTTCCCCCACCACAAAAAAGCAAATATCATACTGTGTTAAATGTAAATTACTGAAAAAAAGGGAAGATTTAAAAAAAAAAGAGAGAGATTTGACAAGATAAGGAAACTGTTTCTGTGCTTGTTTCATTTAAATTAAGATGGTTAAAAGCAGCATTTTTCTTCTTACTAAAATTTCAAAACTGTATTAAGTCAAAAACAACAAGGAGTCTGGTGGCAACTTAAAGACTAACAGATTTATTTGGGCATAAGCTTTCGTGGGTAAAAACCTCACTTCTTCAGATGCATAGAGTGAAAGTTACAGATGCAGGCATTATATACTGACACATGGAGAGCAGGGAGTTACTTCGCAAGGGAGAACCAGTGTTGACAGGGCCAATTCAATCAGGGTGGATGTAGTCCACTCCCAATAATAGATGAGGCAGTGTCAATTCCAGGAGAGGAAAAGCTGCTTCTGTAATGAGCCAACCACTCCCAGTCTCTATTCAAGCCCAGATTAATGGTGTTAAATTTGCAAATGA